CGAAGCCGCTCAGACCACCTCAAACATCCGTGTTGAGGTGTTGGAACAAGATCGCCTTCTCCAGGAGAAGGTGAAGCGGGTTGAGGAGAAGCTGAGGATGCGCCGCGCGTCGCCGTCGGCGAGTCATCACGATTAGATGACTCGGGCCGCACGTATGGCTTCAATCGCTTAACGTAGAACGTTGGGTGGAGTCTCATGTCGGAAGGAAGTTCCAACGTGTATGCGTTGCCGTGACGTTCAGCTACCGTGAACGGCCCAATGAAGCGCGGAGCAAGCTTGCTTGCTCCGAACCCAGAAACTGCATGAGTAGGCAAGTTTTGCGTAGATAACAAAATCAATGAACCAATTTTGAATTCATTTGTATTACCCCTGTCATTATTGTCTGCGTTCATCTTCTGCCTATCCGCAGAAGCTGCAATTGCATCTTGTACAAATCGAACGACTGCTTGTCGTTCGTGGACAAAGTCCATTGCTTGAGAGCTGAACCCCGGCTCCAGCTCATTAGTCTTGTCCGCGTCTGTGCCCTGCACAGACTCGCTACTTGTAGTCACATCAGTCCCAGCCTGTGCGTGGTTCTTTGGGGTGTCAGTGCCCGTCACTGACACTTTGTGTGTGATCGCTCTGTGCGTGAAGCGTCTCAGTATCGATGCCCGGCATCGATACATCACTTGTGCGTGCAACAGGCCCGGCCTGTGCGTGAGTCTTCTCGGTGTCTGTGCCCGCACAGACACATTGTCCTTGGTCGCAGCAGGTGTCGCCTGCTCGGGGTTCTTCACAGTGTCAGTGGCCGGCACTGACACGTCGCCTTGTCGTGTGCGGGCTCTCGCTCTCGCACGTGTCATCGCAGCTGCAAATTCCGTATCAGCTGTCTTCTGCGGTTGTTCGGACGCAACCGTAGATCCTCCCCCAGTTAAGGAGGAAGCCACCGCCCCGAGCGTGCTCGGAAGGGGTGGATGCCGCATGGCGTTCAGGAAGAACGGTGTATGTCCAGTCGAGGCATGCACCGCGTTGTTGATGGCGAACTCGGTCATCGGCAAGTAGTCGCTCCAGTTGTGGAACGACTGGGCGTAGCTTTTCAGCAAGTCCACGAGCACGCGGTTCATGCGCTCGGTTTGCCCGTCCGTCTGCGGATGTTCCGCAGTTGACATTGAGAACTACGTTCCAAGAAGTGTGAACACTTCTTGCCAGAAACGCGCCTTGAAGCGCGGATCGCGAAAGTCGTTGGGCATGCCATGGTGCTTGAACACCATGTCTACGAACAGACGTGCCGTCTGTACGGAGGTCACCTCCGCTGCGACAGTAGCGAGATGCACCATCTTGCTGAAGCGGTCCACAAAGACCACAATACCAGTCTTCCGCCTAGAATCCCGCGGAAGCCCAAACACGAAGTCCATCGAAACGGACTCCCAGCACTCCGACGGAGTC